GACGGGGAGCCGAAAAAATGTATTCATGCACTGACAACGAGTCACGAGGCGGCAGAAAGTCCGAAAGTCGGTAGTCGCGCTCACTCTATTACTTATGTATACAAGCCTAACCTTACTTGTGATTGTTATGAATGTATCTGTTTTGTTATGTGTCAATGATTTTAAGTTGAAACTAAGTTAATTACAGAAAATGAATATTTATTTTAATGAAATGAGACTTGTTAAATATTTAAATTACAAATAAAAAAAAAAATATATTTTATTCTGATAGATTTTCTCAAATAAATAAATAAATTCATTATTGAACAAGTAATTATTTTAAAAAATACACAAACAGATTTTTTTAAAATTTTTTTTTTCTATGCATTTCACGATTATGAATTCATTTTTGTGTTTTTTTTTTTTTTTATTTTTAATATCAGAATTAATTTAAAACATCAAAATTTCAGTGGCGGAGATAATACAACACTCATTGGTAAAGTATTTACTAATGATCGTAACTTAGGAATAACTTTTCAACTTCCTGTTCTTGGATTACTGTATCGTGAATACTGGGTTCTCGAAACGGATTACGATAATTACTGTATTTGTTGGATCTGTGAAGATCGTGGATCATTTTAGTGAATGTATTTATAATAAATTGTTTGTTTTTTTATTTTTTATTTATTTTCAAGTATGACTTATAAAAATTTATAGATCTAATTATTTTTAGAATTTTTTTTTCCAATATTTATTTTCATTAAATTTCAGCGTCGCAAGCTCTTACATATTCACCAGAGAAAAAGTACCAAAACTAAATGTCGATCAAATTGCCGAAGAAGTTTACAGTAAATACGGCCTTTCAATGATGCCCACGGTGAAAATTGACCAAAACAATTGTCCAAATATTTGGAACTGATAAAAAAAATTTTTCTATTAATAATATACTTTTTTCGTTTCAATTAATGAATAGTAATCTTTTTTTTTAATCCAACTGTATTTCTCTGTAAGTTATTAAACATATAAGTTCACGAGTATATTTTAAAATATTATTTACAAAGCAATTATATTGTTTATCAGTCCTGCAATTATAGAACTAAAGGCTCTCCGTGATAGCATACTGATAATTTTTTGTTACGTATGAGTTTCTTTACTTCGGTATGCATGCAATCAACTAAATAGACTTCTTGTTCAAAAAAATACTGTTAAATAAATACAATATTTGGTTCAATAAAAAGTACATACTAAATTTTTTTCTTTTCTATAAATATGTTGCGCTTATGCGTAATCATTTGTTTCCTCAGTGGAGTCTTTTCGCAAACACCCGGTATAGGAAAATGCCCTCAGCCAAAAGTTAAATCAAATTTTGACCTCAAAAGAGTAAGTTGTATTTTCTTTAAAAATCTATTTTGTTTAATAAATTTACTTTTTTTCTTCAGTATCAAGGGGATTGGTTTGAATTGCGACATAGCATTCCAAATATTTACGAATTATATGGAAAATGTACCAAAGTCAACTACAAGTTAGACGAATTCGGGTTTTTGATTTCTACAAATGAAATGTTTTCAGAATTGTAAGTATATCTTTGTGTTTATTTAATTTCAAAATGTCTATTATTAATATAAATATGTTTCCAAATTTGTATTTAAATATTAACTTTTCACCTCAGAAATCGATTTCAACAACGGATGATAGGTAATGCGACTATTGATACAGCGAATTGCGTAAAGGGATCAAAATGTGGTAAACTGAAAATGGCATTTCCGTCGGCTTACGCTGATAAAGTTATCAGTCCTTATTGGGTACTCGGTACTGATTACAGTAGCTTCGCGACTGTTTGGAGCTGTTTAGAATATGACTCGTATCAGTAAGATAAATTTATTATAATAGAATATTACAATAGTCAAAATTTCTCTGTTTAAAAATATTCATTGAAAAAAATTAAAAAAATTCGCTCCATGCAAATTATATATCTATAGATATATACTGAGAAATTGAAATCAATTGGAATTATTGAAAAAAATTCAAATCTTATGACAGTGAATTTTTTTCAATTAATATTTTTAAAAAGGGTTGAATTAATTTATAAAAAATTATAATAGTATAACCATATTTTTGCTGAGTTTTAAAAAATTTATATTAAAACAAATTGAGTTTGTAATGATTTATTAATATAAATTCATTTCTTCCGTTTATTTGAACAATAAATGGCCATAAACGGCACAGTAGCCACAAACGGTACTTCTACCCTACTTAGTATTAGTAAAAATACTTCAAATGTTCTACTTATTTTAGTTTTCAATATGTCTGGATTTTGGGAAAAGAAGAACATCCGGCAACGTCAGTTGTCAAAGCGGCGATGCGTATTTTGAAAATAAACGGCCTGGATGATATACCAATGACAGACACGAATCAAAATGATTGCCCATTGAAAGGATAATTATATTATACTATTATTTAAAATTTCTATACTTTCTTCCCTTTTTTAGACCAGATAAGGCATAAAAATTATTAAAATTCAATCAATAATTTAAATCAGCAAAGTGAAATTGTATTCAACATAATTTTATGAAAAATAAAAATTAAACTTAAATTTATCGACGTCAGAAAATAATAAAGCTTTTATCACGCAGAAAAAAATTTTGTTAAGATAACCTAAGATATGTTGTGATAACAAATTAATTTGTTAACATAGGGATAACAAATTATATGTTAAAATAACAAAATTTAGATTATAACATAAGTTATTGATATGTTATAACAACAAAACAGTTTTGTTACTATAGCAAAATCTTTTAGTTGATTCGACAAAATAGTGTAGTTGGTACAAAAAATTTTTTTGTTGAAACAGCAAAATTATTCTATTAAAATAACAAAGAGAATTTGTTGGAGTAACAAAGACAATTTGTTGAAGTAATAAAGAGAATTTGTAAGAATAACAATGAGAAGTTGTTAGAATAACAAATAAATTTGTTACAGTAAATTTTATAAGAATAAATTTAACAAATAACAAACTAATTTTGTTATTGCAACAAAATCACTTTGTTACAGCAACAAAATTACTTTGTAACAGCAACAAATTGATTTTGTGATTTAACAAACTGGTTTGTTAGTACAACTTGAAGCATTTTGTTAATGCAATTAATGGATTTGTTGCTATAACTATACTTATTTGTTGCGACAACATATTTTTCAGTTATTCCGTCTTTTTTTATTTCAACAAAATCGTTTTTATGCGTGCAGTGTCTCTATCGTACCAAAAGATGGCAGTATAGATCAAGGATAGTACGACCTTCTGATAATATTGCCACTGCATACCATCAGTACACACAGCCAGACATTTATTTTATCAGCATTTCAAAATAATCACCAGATATCACTACTAATTATTAATTTTAAAATCAATTAAATTAATTATTAATACCATAAGAAGCATTTTATTAAAACATTAATTGATGTAATATCACAGTTTTGCTTGTTAATAATTTACGATTACCATAAAACCCCTTAAGTGCGTCCCTAATGTGCGAGCAAAAGTGGTTATACGCACAATAGAATTGACATGGTAAGTACTTTCCCCCAAATAAATCACTTAATTTTCACATGAGAATTATTAAAAAGGGGACGGACGATAAAAGTCCAGTGTAAAGTACATAAAAAATATCGTGGGACATTATCTAATCCCTGCGGAATCACGGATGATTACATCATGTACTTACGGAATAAGTACATTATGTACAAACGGAGTGATTGCGGCGAAGAATTAATTAAATGATAAATAAAAACATTTCGGTTAGAACCCTTTTGTGATTGTTGAAGTCGTTGCTTTTTAACACGCGACTTTACTCCCGAGGGCTTTACTCTTTAAAAATGCATGAATGCACTTAATGTTATTTTTTAGCATCCGAGAGGGCGAGAGGGAGAGCAAGGACTGGAGACGAGCGTAAATATAGCTGACAATACCGGTTAAATTGAACAAATAAAGGAATGGTTAATATAACGGGAATAGAGTAGTTTACCGCGTGCGAACGCACTCTCGTCGCGTGTCATCCTCGCATATCGTGTAAACAGACACCCCAGCCCTCAACCCTCAGCCCATTCAATTGGTAAGCCCGTGGGTTATAATCCACGTACACAGAACTAAACGTAAAATCACACTACATACCAGTTGTATCATCAGTGAAGCATTGTCAACCGATGAAGAGGATCGTGAGACGGCGGGACAATCTACTACCGGTTTCCCCTCATCCGCCAGCACGACCCAGTGGATCAAAAAGATAAATAAAGGCACAAAAAATAAATAAATAATAATTCTTGATGTACCTTGAATTGGAAAAAAGCTATAAATTTTTTGTCACTTACTGTCAATATCATATATTTACTTTTTTGCTGGTATGCGGGTCTATTATTGTTATTTTTATTCTTATTCATTTCGTTTCCGTTTCATTGACTTTAACCGGTCCATTTATTCGGGGTGCTTTATAAATTATGTGCGGAAGTATTATAATATATCCCTGATGAGACGGTATTGTTACTTTAATTTATATGAGACCGGAAAAATTATAAATATATACTGTTTATATAAAAGCAGCTAAATAAAGAAGTCCTTAAATATGAGATAATACATAAAATACATATGTACATCTGGTTTGAAATTTTTATTTTTTAATCTAATAGTAATGATCTACATTATTAAGAGAATAAGAAAAATGTTGTTTTCAGGATAGTCATGTGATAAAATCGATTTTTTTACTGAAATTTAGTGTCATTGCAAAGGTCTTGACTTGAATTTGTGCCTTTTCAAGGTTTTATTTCATTCTCACCGATAGTCAATTTATTATGATAAGGATTTAGGCTGCATTCGAAAATGTTCTATCTCTTGATACATAATTAAGAAATGACCTTTTATCTTGTGAAACATTGACATTTTTAAAGATATAAGCTCATCCCGATGTTACAGTCATCAAGATCTTTCATTTGAGTACTCACATCAATTTTTCATATATTTTATATATTTATATATATAAATATATGAAAAATATATCAAAATGCATGTGGGTACTCAAATGAAAGCTCTTGATGAGTGCAACATCGGGATGAGCTTATACCTTTAACAACCTCAATAGTTAAGAAAGTACAGAGCAATTTTAAGAAATAACCTTATATCTCATGAACTATTGACGTTTTTAAAGATATAAGCTCATCCCGACATTACACTCATCGAGACCTTTCATTTGAGTACCCACATCAATTTTTCATATATTTATATATATTATATATATGTATATATGAAAAATATATCAAAAATGGATGTGGGTACTCAAATGAAAGCTCTTGATGAGTGTAACATCGAGATGAGTTTATATCTTTAAAAACGTCAATAGTTAAGAAAGTACAGTGCAATTTAACAGATATCTTCTGAATTATTGACATTTTTAAAGATATAAGCTCATTCCGGTATCACACTCATCAAGACCTTTTATTTAAGTACCCACATCAATTTTTCATATATTTATATATATTATATATATATATGTATATATGAAAAATATATCAAAAATAGATGTGGGTACTCAAATGAAAGCTCTTGATGAGCATAACATCGGGATAAGCTTATATCTTCAAAAACGTCAATATTTAAGAAAGTACAGTGCAATTTAACAAAAGTCATTATATAATAAAGCAAAATTTTAATTTTTTATAATTCACAAATCACGGCAGTCACATAGTGACTGCAAGGTTGCTAGTTAATAATTAATTTTTTTTTAATTATTTCAAAAAATTCCAAATTGAAAATGTACCAAATTTAATCGTGTTTTTATTATGTTTAGATAAACAAAAACATTTAATTAAAATAAAAAAATTTTTTTTTCTTTTAAAATAAATTTGAACCATCTTACAAATGTCCGATTACAGCAACACTAATGACATTAAATATTTAAACGTTTATATTTGTTGGAAATAATAAAAATTTGTTTTCACTCTAAGCCTCGTTACTTGTGAAATATTGCAGGTATTAAAGTTAATATATTCAAGACATATCCAAGAAATTTAGTACCAAAGATTTCTCTAAATCACCATAAAGATTGTATCTGATAAAAGGCATTATATATTTCCAAAGAAAAGAAATCTTTTAAAATCAACTAACAAATAAATAAATATAAAGGTTTGGAATATTAATTCACGTAAATTCACCAATTATTTACAAAGACAAAAATTGTCTCGATGACTGGCACGCCAATAAATCGTGTGAGGAATCTTAATCGCATCTCGTCTTTTAAAAACAACAAAAAAAAACTATCCGGCCACGTGACGCGTTCCGCTAAAAAAAATTAAAGCTTAAACCATCGTTGTCTATATCCAGAATCGCCTGACTAAACTCTCTTGCATTCTCGTGTAATACTTTTTACTCGTTTAACTTTTCGTATCCATAATTTAAACAAGGTGCACTAGGTTTTACGTGGCTTGTGTACACACACAATACCGGCAGCATGTACCAGGTTAACCATCAGGTGTATTATATCGGAGCTGGTTACACCAAAACGCTCCGTCCAGTCATCTGGCCTTCTCCAGTACAGTGTAAATCTGTTCCTCGGAGTTTTGGCAGCTCATCGTGTATCCTATCTCCTCTCAGTTGTTCTCCTCACGCGTCTACACTTGACGATATAATATAATACCCGTAGTAGTATACTGCAGAGCCTACAGAGTAAGAGTCTGAGGCTACGGCTTTTCGATCTCCGGTGAGGCGCGGGGAGAAGCGGACATGGTACCTAATAACAGGGTAAGACCAGGCTAAACAAACATACACGCCCATGGCATGTCTCGCTGGAGGTATTATGGATAAAAATAAAAAAATTTAAGTTTACAAAATAACCAGATAAGAGTTAAGAAGATCTGCTGAGGAGTTTAAGTCGAGAAAGAAGGATGTTAAATTATGATTCAAGTTAAGGAAGGTAACCATATAATACTTTCCTTGTAGGTATTATATATTATAATACACATGTGTGTGAGGTTTAATACTTATACTGTTAGACTTGACATGAAGGATAATCACGTAACGGACCTACTGTACTGTCTGTAGATATGGACTCGTTTACTCGTAATTTACTCGAGTGTTGATATGAGTAAAGTAACATTATGTACACATACATGGAGTCAACTTAACTTGACTTGCAAGTCTGCCTCGGGAAAGATCAACATTTTGAGATTCAAGTCGCAAACGAGAATTATTTCTTGCATTACATTACCTCCATCCTCTTGTCATTTATTTTTTTTTTTTTATTCTTTACTTTTGTTTCTACCTCTGGTAGTGAGTGAAGACCCAAAGATCATATGGAAAAAATAACAACTCAAATATAATTATGAAACAATTCCGGCATCCTTGTATTACTATATACTGGTACCACATTAAATCCGTAGCGCAATAATTTCACGAGCTTG